GAAACAGTATGATCACCATTCATGATTTAGCATTTTACAATGGCATAAAAATTCAGCAAGACATTAATCACTTATTTGAGAGGAAAAGAGGAGACAAAGATTTTTAATCATATATATATATATATGAGCAAACTGCAGTGTTTACTTTGCTGCACGCACACAAACAAACACACACACTACTACTAGGTAACTAGATCTGTATTCCAATAGTACATTTGTCAGAAAGAGGACATGAGTGCATCCAGGAAGAGAGAACATCAATCTGTCCAAGAAGAGGTCAACAGTACGTCCAGAAAGAGGACAGCAATGTATTTTATGTAGATGCTAGTTGAAGAATGGCAGGTTTTCCATATCAGTAACTGGATGCCATATCTATTCCAAAAGGTCAGCCCAACCCTTATGGCCTTAAGAAAAGTATGATTAACCTAGTTGTCGTTTGTCATTTTCCTTCACATGGTGGCTGCTATGCCCTGAGCAGCCACTTAGTTTGCTTATGCCTTGGGCCCGCTCTGGGAAGTAGAAGAAAGCCAGTACTCAGATGAATAAACTGGAGTGACTGGAGGTCGCCAAATATAACTGGTACTGGGTGAAATGATTCAATGAGACCACACTTTTAGGCCATGCAAACATTGGCTGACTTCAAAGGATGCATGGAGGAATGCATGCAAAAAAAGAACTTTATTCCTACTGCGAAACTTTATGTCACTGTATCACATTTTGCATCCACCAGTCCTGAGGCACTTCAACAAGATCAATTACAGCAGGAGCTCTATCAAGTCACAGGAGAAATATTTTGGCCATAAAAACTTTCTGTCTTTGCCACAAGGCCAGAACATAGTTACAGCTGGAGATCCCAGCATGGCAATAACCCCAAACACACCTGAAAAATCACTCTCTGGGTTAGAGGAATGAAAAAGTTCGCATGGAGAAAACCCTCCCCCAAGTGTTTAAAAACTGCAGAACACAGAAAATGCCAAGGGAAGCTGGACAACTACTAACTACTTTTTTGAGATTTTGTTCTTGTAATAAGAGTAATGGGGGCGTGACATGTGGCTGAGCAGATTAGGGCTCTGTGCCTGTAGTCAGAAGGTGGCTCGGTCAAGTCCCGGCAGAATACTCACATCTCTACTGGGCCTTTGTGCAAATGGCAAATAATGAATCATTTCATTTTATTTAATAAAAGAGAAAACACTACAAAAGCTTGTTTCTTACCTTCTTCCTCACAGTTCTCTCCTGAGTAAAATTCCCTGTGACTACATGTTTATGAAGCAACAACCAGCAGATGTGCAGAACATCTTGCACAGTAATCCTAAGGAAGGGTATATACCGTAAACACATGTACCATACGTAAAGAATCAAGTAGTGTGCACTGCAATAGGGATTCTCAGCCTTTTGATGACAGAGGAGCAGCTTACGTTGAGTAGTTTAGAGGGTTGCTGGCAGTAAAACTTATCTGCTGGGGGGGTGGAACGATTGGTTGGCCAGATTTTATCCATTTATCCAAAGTTTATCCATTTCCATTTTGTTCAGATGTGATCAGATTGATTATGTTAGGGGTTGTAAAAATAGTGACTCGAAATATTGAAAAAAATATTTTTGGAGAAATAACCATCCCTGCCCCCAATTCCCAATATTCCACAGTCCAGTGAAACCCCTAGGAGCACCGTAAAGAGGGAGCAGTTAGGATGATTCCAAGGGCCCTTTAAAAATTTGGAACATAATTGAATTTGTCTGGGTTGGGGGCCTGGTATGATATGCTCTCATGGGACCCAAAATTTCTAGTGCCCCCCCCTGCATTAGAGCAATAGCTATAACAATGGCTCAGCCATCCTCTTACTCATATGCAACACATGCGGTGTGTTAGAAAAGGTGAAGGCTTTGTCTTAGAAACTCTAACAGGCACAGGATGACATAACTGTCAGTGTGGGACAGGGGAATTCAGAAGGCACTATTTCTGATAGAGTTAACTCCGTGAGCAAGAAAGGAAACAATTCCATTGAAAAATGAATAGCAATGTATATGTAGCATAAATTCTTCATGTTTACTAAAGGTGTAATTGATAAATATGCAACTTTTTAATGTGTTTTGCTGTATATTATACTATCAGTAATATTAGGGAAATATTAAAATAAATCACTGGTCTGGTTACTTAAGCACATGGTCGATAAATGGACTGTAAACTGGCCAACAAAATAATTAAAACCATTTTATAATGTGAATTTAGGTGTACAGCAACCATGACACTTTCAAATCTTTAAAACTTCAGTTTATTTTGTGGATGTTTGGCAAAATGATTATTTTGAGTACACAAACCAGACAGTATGTGTTTTTCTTTCTGACATTTTTTTCTGTACTACAAGAGAAACCAAGGAGTCATATTCTCCAGCCTCCAAATAGGATTAGGACTTAGCTTTAGTTTCAGTCAAATTAATTTTGTTTAATTAACATTGTATTTTCTTTCATTTCTCTTTTCAGAAACTCAGAATAAAATATTGCAGGAATCATTATTTTTGCAGCTTAAACTGCATTAATAGAAAATTATGCTCTTCAAAGCATGTCCTTAATTGTTAACTATAAACCTTCCATAAAACACGCTCGATTATGAGGACAGGCCTGACACCTACTGGCCATGACCAGTAGTACAGCTTCACTACGTAACACAGCAGGAGAACCCAGGTGTCCTGGTTGACAGCTGGATTGGTCATTCACCACTTATCCAGCGCAGACTCACAGTGAAGCTGGACTGTATTACGGGCAACACAGGGCGCAAGGTAAGAAACAGCCTCCAGAGGTCGCCAGTCACTCACAGGGCACACACCCCCACACACCACATACCCAATAGACAAGTTAGAGTAACCAATTCACCTGGACAGCATGAGCAAAGTGGAGTCCTTTGCAACCACTACAGATGGATCAGGTTTGCATAGAAGCCAAATATACTTTTAAAGTAACAGTCCAAATAGTATGACTATAAGACCCCGAGATAAACGGCTATCCTGCCCAAGCTGTACCTGACTTGTGCCATAAGCTGCCTAAGATATTGCAACCTTGTCCGCGATAAGTGGCACGACCTTTTCTGGGATAAGCAGGTAAAAGGAGGATGGATGGATCGAACTACAAGAGGCTGACAAAAAGCTTCTGCCACATCTCACACTAGATCAACATCATTTACTCCCTATTCTTCACTGCAAAAAATGTCAGCCTGGCTGAAATGTAAACAATCCCTGTAAACAAAAGACTAGTGTCAAGGTAACTGAAATCAAGTTGTATACATACATTTATAATGAATTGTCATATTGCTAAACAATCCCAAAACCCCCTTTCAGACAGAAATGTTTACATTTATTGTACTTCGAAGACAGTGGAACCTGCTTATAGACAAAACTAGAGTGTTTCATATATGGAAGCCGTCATTGTCGTTGGTGATTTGAAAGGCCAGCAACTAATAGACCACCACAAATAAGCAGCATCCAGCCAGGGTGGACAAAATGGAGCTGTGGCCCTCTACTGGGGAAAAGTATGAACTGCAACAAAACATGTAACTATTTAAAAATCAGCTTGGTTTGGAAATAAAGGTTTATCTTAACAAATGTATCCATTGTAGTCACTTTAAAAATTACACTGGAGCAATAATGAAATTATATTAATGTTTTGAACAAAGACATAATTTTACCATTGCTCTGTTCATAAACGAGTCTGTAACCCAGAAACGAAAAAGCAAAGCATGAATGATGCAGTGGAAGAGAAACACTGAGCCAAAGTGAGAAAATGATTAGAAAAAAATTATCTATATAATTCTGTTTTTATTGTAATTATTTTTGGCATAGACAATACGAAGATTAGACGCGTGGGAATGATTTTGTCAGCTTGTAACCAGAGGGGAAAAAAACATTTAAAGGTACAAACAATTTAATTCCTACTGCAACATATTGATTTTTTCCCTTAAAAGTGATTTAGCCTACTGCATGCAGATTGATCTAAACAGGAATGCAACTATATGATGCATAATGATATCATCAGGGAGATGGAGACCACAGAGGGAAAAAAAAATTCTATTGTGTCCAAGATTGGGAAAAGATCTCTATGCACTGTTACTAGAAGCAAAGCCACTAAAGACTCAATCACTTCGTGCTACACAAACAGAATATGTTATTCTCCCTAAGGAATGTTTGTCATTGACAAGTAGAACAACTCAGTAACAAAAGCTCTTCTACTGCATGTCTGGATAACTTTCTCAGAAATGATTGCTGCTTAAGGCGGATTCCTTCTAGTCAGGTTATGCCTTGCGACACCCTGCAGAGTCTAGCACAGCCGTCCACCAACAGTATGTCTTCTGATACTTGAACAACCTCACAGACAGGAAACAATATATTGCTGTAGATTATTCAAGTGAAGGACCGTAGAAAGTTAGTGGCAAAACATTAATATTTAACATTAACGTTTAGATGGTCTCGGTAATGCTTACACCTTGGACACTGTGCTCAGCTAGAAAGGACTCTGCATCATAAGTGCTATGGGAGATTGCAGGTAGCTTCCAGCCAAACACATAAAACTCCATATCCAATCCTGCTCTAAGGGTTTATCATGTGTATTTAAATATGTGTTATATATATATTTTTTACTTTTATACATATATAGTTCATATACAAATATAAATGTCATTTTCTTTAATATTATGCAATTCTCTCTATCTGTGCACAATACATGTAAAATATACATCTCTACACACAGACGCGCAAAACTGAATGGTGAAATAGCCTCGCAAAATAATCCCAAAAATCATGAATCGTTTTTTTCTTTATATTCACAAAAGATGTGGGATTTCGGCGGGAGATGCACAGTTTTTATAAAAACAAAGTGCTCCCGGTCCTTTTCAGGACAGCTGAGCCACAGCGCCATGGTTACGGAGGCAGACCGGCTTCTTCCCTTACATTCACCATACAGCCGATTCTCTGGGTCCCCCCGCCCCCTCAGCCCCCCCCCCTCCCCTCCCCCCAGCAGGCACCCTCTCTGAGCTTACTGCGACTTGCTGCAGTATTTGGAAATCCCTCGTGGGAGTGATAAGTGACCTAGTTTATCATCCTACTATGTGCTAATGAGGGCAACCATAACTACTATATGGATACCACATCTGGCACAGCATCCACTTTGCTGGGCATTTATTTCAGATCTGATCTAACAGAAAGGCTTTGCACATTTATTATGCCCTTTTCCTAGCTACTGGGTCTCTTCCTGAATGCCTTCCAGAACCCTGATGAGACTCTCCAGGCCAAACACAAACCCCTTGTCAGGCCCATGGTAAACCGTGGGGTCGTCTCTGAAACCTTTGAATGTGGTGTGAGCGAAGTCTATCATGCGCACATCGACGCAGGGCGGCGGAAAAGCAGCTGGGGGCTGCGGAGGAAGGTCACTGGAGGCCGCCGGGATTCGAGGTAATAGGGCAGGTTCTGATGGTCCGTGGACCGCCGGTCCATCCTGCCCCGATGGTCTGAGCCTGGGCTCCCTGCCCTCGTAGATGATGAGCAGGGAACTGGAGTAGAAGCGATAGGAAGCCTGCTTCTCCAGCACTGCTTTCAGGCGAACCAGCTTGTCCAGAATGGGCTCCAACAGGTCCCTTCGTAGCTGGATGCCGTTGTGCATGAACTGGCATAGAGCTTGCCGGAAGCCCTCCACAGACAAGCCACGGCCATAGTACTTGTTTCTGCAGAGGTAGTGCGCCGTGTCTACCTGGTAGACCTGCATAAAAAGCATGCATGTGAAAGGCGCATTTAATCATTATCGCAAACTGTGACATGCGCAGTAGAAAATATCAGAATAGCTTGAATCAGGCGATCATGTCTCTGTACTGTATATCAGAGTAAAACTTCTGGCTGCATTACCAAAAAATATCTATAAAAGCATGCTTATCAACAGGCCTGGCACAACCCTTTTTGGGGCTCTAAGCAAGATGTGATTAACCTAGTTTTCATTTCTCATCCTCCTTCCCATTCTGATCAGAAGGGGGCCCCCTGGTGGCCGCTGGGCCTTAGCTGCTGCTCCTGCTTTGTGAGCCGGCCCTGCTTATCAATTGAGATTTAACTCAATGCCGCCCTCTGCTGGGCCGAGAGCAGTACGTGGCCTCCCTCACCTGCATACCGCAGACACGCACGCCCAGCGAGGCTGACGTGCTCTGCTCACACTTCCTCATCTGGCGGGCGGCCTTCTCCTCGGTGGCATCGTCGCCATGCTGCCGCGTGCCCATCTTCAGGTCCAGGATGCAGGGGCGGCCAAAGCGGTGCACCACGTTCTCCAGCAGCAGGAACTCTGACAGGCAGGGGCGTCAAGGAACTCCTCCACATGGTGGAACCTCAGGCGGGCCGACACCATCTGAACCCACAAAGGCCTGTGCTATACAGAGCTAAACGGCCAATAATTCCTCGGTAATAAGGATGCCCACAAATGGATGGATCGAGGCTTGGATCAGGGGCTCTCAATTGGTTTAGCCACAGGACCTATGCCCAAATTCCCACTGGACTGCCCTGCTTGCAGGCTGTAATCTGGACTCCCCCCTCAATAAATATTATCACCACCCTGGTCAGCAAATTTTTTCTTAAGGACCCCCCCCTCCAAGTGCGTCAGGGATAAAATTTACCACCCCCCTGGTGTTAGGTGTGATGTTCCCGGCCTGAAACCTGAAGGTCTGCTCAAGACCCACGTACTTCCTTGGTCATAAGTCACAACCCACATCTCAAATTTTTTTAACCAAAGTTAAAAAAACTTTGGTTTGAGGACCCCTGGCTTAGACAACATAAATTATAAGCATCTAAGGAACACTTGGAAGGAGGGGCCTTATAGTGAGACACGGACTCCCCCGACCGGGCACTGCGGAGTGAGACATGGACTCCCCCGGCCGGGCACTGCGGAGTGAGACATGGACTCCCCCGGCCGGGCACTGCGGAGTGAGACACGGGCCCCCGCCGGGCACTGCGGAGTGAGACACGGGCCCCCGCCGGGCACTGCGGAGTGAGACACGGGCCCCCGCCGGGCACTGCGGAGGATACTGTACAGTCGCCGGTCCTTGGACTCGGCGCGCATGCGGCTCAGCTGCTGCTTGTGGCAGCGCAGGCTCCAAGGATTGTGGCCGATCTTCTCCGTAGCCGGGCCACTGTTGCCGTCCAGCATCCGGAAGGAGACATCCGAGTGGAGCAGATGCAGATGGGGGCTCTCGGGCTCCTGGGGGCTGATGGGAGGGAGGAGATGGGCGTGGTGGTGATGCATCTTTTACTACGCAATCAAAGCGTGCGTGTTGTGTTACATTTCATTCTGAAAGGGAAATCTCGTGTTTATTCGGCCTGCCTACATATGCCAAGCATGTGGGTTACAGGGTCCTAACATGTTTCATGTGGTCAGGACTGAGCAGGGACTATAAAATCCCATCTGGGACATTTGGAGTGGATAATCCGGTGGTCATGGTTCTTAAAAGCGGAACCCACTTTCTCCTAAACAGCATTCCAGCATGTCTTCCTCTGAGATGTTTATGTCTGTGTTTGAAATATGCATCACTGGGAGACCTAAGAGGCTTTTAAGATAAGAATATAAATGGATTATATTCTCTTGTCTCCATGCCCCATTCCCCGAGCTGACGGTGTAATGGGTACAGTGATATTTCTGAGCCCTAAGTCACAGGACTTACTGTCACCCTAGGTGAAATACTCATTGGAATTTAGCAAAAATAATCCTGTTTTTTTGTTAGCACAGCAGCTTGGAAGTTTTGAGGACAATGAAAACTGGGTGTGATATCCCTGATCTCTGACTGGAAAGCTGCCTGAGCAGAGAAGCAGATGTACGGGTTTCCTAAAACACATCCTGGCTCTTTACGTTATCATACTGTATCTTTACATCCCCAGGGGTGTATTCATGGGTGGGGGCACAGGAGAACTGTCCTCAGCTGAAAGATGATTGGCCCTCTGTCTTGTCACTCACTAATTCAAACCATTTCATTGGTTAATAATAAAGGGTTGGGCCCTTTGTATGAATGTCAGCCCCCACCTCATAAAAATCCTAGAATCGCCCCTGTTAGAGCAGGGCTCAACACTCACTTCATCACTCCCAAAACTCTTAGGTCTCTGGTTTTCTCCCCTCCCTGGTCTGCTCCCCCAGTTCTCCGGGCCCTGCCCACCTCTCCGTGCTATCGGCATCGTCCCTGTGGTCACTGCCAGCACGGTGTAGGCTCCGGCGGGACTGCTTGCGTCGTGGCTGCTCTGGGTCAACCATGTCGTCGCGGCCTGTAGCCTCGCTCTCCACGAAGGGGTATGCCACCAAGTTGATGTAGCCGTCACAGTCGCCCTCAAAGCACACCAGCACCAGACCTGGGGGGAAGAGAGGTACCTTCCGATCATGGGCATAGAGTCCTAACCTGCGGAGCCACAAACCGCCCCCACGCACTGGACAGTCTGTGAACATCTCACCTAGATACTTGGAAAAAAATGTGATAGTTGACAGAAGCCCACAAATCCTGCCAATATCCTCATTGCAATGCAGAAGAACACCGACTATCATAAACACAAGGAATTATTATTATTCAGTGGATGAGAAACAGCATAACAGAACACAGAGCTATCAAAAGTACGTCTAAATAATGGCAAATTCACTCTGTGATCTCGACTGTGCCACCTCCACGACACCGTGCGGAGCACAGATACAGCACTTAGCGGCTCAGGATGCCGCCACGCGTAAACGGGCGAGTGGCAGCACAGGGTGTCTCATCTTCCGGAAATGTTATTCTGTGCCATTGTCCAGGGACAAAGCAACGTTTGTCAGGAGAACATCAGTCATCTTGCTTGGTCCTTCCAGCAGCGGAGGAGTAGATGACATTTGCAGAGGCCCTTTTATTGCCAAGGAACCCACATAATAATAATAATAATAATAAATAATAATAATAATAATAATAATAAATAATAAGAAGAAGAAGAAGAAGAAGAAGAAGAAGAAAGACAGACAGACAGACAACTCAGGACAGGGCACCAACACACTGCAGAATTGTAACATTTATAGTTATTATATAACTGTAATAATAAATTGTGAAAAACTGTACTATAACAACAATAATAATAATAGTGACAGTAGAATGGAATCTTCATCAATGTAAACTTCTGTGTTTCTTTAACAAAGTTACAACCCGCATTATGGAAGACAGAGTAGTTTTGTACATTTAAACACTTCTACGTCATGAAGCTGAGTGCTGTAAAGTGAGCACGATACATCGGTAAAAAAGCCGTCCGCTGCTGACAGCCGTCCTGGGAAGGCACACTCTGGGATGTGCTGCTGCAGGCCTGCCTGTCCGGGCGCCGTTCCCGCTTGGACACTGAGGCGCTGCCCCGTCTCTTACGATGCGCAGTTTGTCATTGTGTCCAAGGAGAAGAATGTGCCGTCTAAACAGATTTAAGAGTGGATGAGGTGCCGGCTTCAGGAAGCGGCCCCGGCCTGCACATTGTCAGAAAGGCTGCGTTGCTCTCCACGTTAGGACTGAGGGTCGGGATCCATCCTGCCTCTGCTCCGTCCTACTGGGGTATTGTGCTGGCGTGGCGGCTTGTACCAGGCCCACAGTCAGGCCATGGGTGAAGACTTGGGGCGGTGCTGGTCGAAGCCCACATGGTACCTTAGGTAAGCTTTACTGCCGGCGCCCCCTCCTGGTAGGTTGTGCCACTCAATTTTATTTTGTCTCAAACATGGCGTACCAGGGAAAGGACCAGAGGTGATGTGTGCCAGGAAGGGGGTAAGGCGGTGGTGCTAGCGATTCGCTCAGTAGATGTTGCCCCAAGCAATGGCCCATCATGCCCTGGTACCAGGTAAGTAGACTGATGTTCTATAGCTGAAGGTGAGGAAGAATCAGGTGACCTGAGCCTGGCCCCACCCACTCACCTTTGTATTCGGGGGTGAACTCCTTCATCTCCGGCGGCAGGGCCTCGTAGAATCGCTGCTCGCGGGCGATGAGCGGTTTGCACACAGTGTGGTCGTCGTAGCGCATCATACTGGTGTGGCCGCCCACCTGGTGGATGAAGGGCTCCAGCAGCACCCCGCGGCTCGCACCTGACTCCAGGCTGGCGCTCTGTTTGCCCGCGTTCATGGCGCCTGACAGGCACATCGCGTGGGTGTGCTGCGTGGCGGCTAGCTCAGCTGTGCGGGTCTGGCCAGCAGGGGGTGCTCCTACAGCCAGGCCAGCAGCTACACACGCCGGTCAGATAGGCCTTCCTCACAGAGTACCCAGATCAGGTGCTGTTACTCGATCCCACTGGACAGAGGAAGAGAGTAAGAAAAGCATTAAGAATTTGGAATTTTAATAAAATTGGATAAAATCACATATTATGTCCCCAGACCTGTAATGATTTCTTAACTCATACAGCTATAAGAGCACCTACATTCCAGAGTATTTGTGGAGTTTAGCATACTGAAAGGAAACCCACATTTCAATTGGAACACATGGTAAGTATTTTTATATCAGGGAGTAGGTGCTGGGACTACAGCGACAGCTTCCAGAGTATTTTTGAACTGTGTGTGGCAGAAAGAAATATTAGTACAGCAGGAATAAACACCTTCACCCTGAAATAGACCCGTTACAAAGGTCATACATAAATTAACAAATTCTCTTAGATAAATTAAAAAAGAAAAAACACTGTAAAACACTGTTGGATTGCATCTACTCATCGCACTTTTTTTGTGAAATAAATTTTTAATAAACATTTTAATTGAGCTGTTACTCAACGACCAGGGATAACTGTGGGTCCTGAGGCTAAACCAGATGAAGAGCACGGCTGGAAGGTATGTAACTAGCAGGAATCAGAAAGACATAACGTGCAGGACTCCAGACTTTGTGAATTTTCTGACAGTTATCTTAGGAGACTCTGGGAAGCTCACTCCTCCACACCATTTCACTGAGGCCCATACAAATGACATCCTTCACGCCAGGACACATGCACCCAGACCCTGCAGTGCACAGATAGTGGGACCAATTTAATCAATTCAGAGGAGATCAAACACACCAGAGAAGGATAATTCCCAGTGGCGATTATAGGGTTTTTTTAAGGTAGGGTGGGCCATAATTCATACAGAGGGGCCATCCTTATCATTAGCCAATGGTACATTTTGAATCGGTGAGTGACAGTAGAGGGGGCATGCCAGGGGCCAATCTGCTTTCAGCTGGGGCCAGTGCCTATAGCCCCGCCCCTGTACACACCCCCTGGTTCAGAGGCCATCAACACATCAGAGAAGGATTACTCCATCTGTAACTGCATTAGCATGACCCCAAGCAAGCCTGCATTGTCAACCAATTACCTACAGAAATAAAGAAAAGCAGCACAGCTGCAAAGCAAATTACAGGTGCAGCATGCGAACACCAACCCCCACAGAAAGCCCCGTTATTATAAAGGGTAAAACAATAAAATCCAGTTCATTAAACGGCCTCTTAATGATAGCCCTCCACACTCCATTAACCAAAATTAGAACGGCTCGACGCTGCACCTGCAGCCACAGAGAGTCATTGTTGTGTGAAGCAGCGGCTCTTACGCGGGCACGCCGCCGTTTTCTCTACTCCCTATAAAACTCCACCTACTCGAATGCTTCACCAGATCACAACAGTCATTGTTACTACAGTACATTCATCAGATGCTATTGTCCAAAGAGAGGCACACCGAGGTTTGATGAATGAAGATAGGACCTTCCTTCTATGTGCATTGTAATCAGTACAGTATTGTGATGCTTTATTTATTGCTTTCTGCCTACCCTTCACATACATAGACACATTATACAAGTTTAGGGTCACAGAGGGTCAGCCAGCAGACAGTGGCTGTGGAGCTACTTAGGGTTAAGGGCCTTGTTCAGGGGCTCAACGGTAGCATCAGTTTCTCGACACCCAGGATTTGAACCAGTGATCTTCTGGTCAGTCCAAACCTGCCATGTGAGATATAAATAATGAGATACACAGACACAGATCCATCCATCCATCTGTGACTGAGTGGGGTGTTCTAGCATTCGGACCCTGATGGGAAGCGTGAAGTTAACTGATGATTATATTTTCTACTACGTTATGCTAGTAGGCTAGCTTAAGGAACACATGGCCCAAACAGAATCTAACAGGACATCTGAGACCAGAACAGTTTAAATATTTTAGTACACAAAAGGCAGTGGTGTTTTGGGATACGCTTCCAAGTACTGCGACTGAACATTTACATTTATTTATTTAGCACACAAGCGAGGAAAGCTGGGTCAGTCAGAGTCCTGGGAGCAGGTCAGGTCAAGGCCCTCGCTCAAGAGCCCAGAGGTGATATGATTACTCTGCTGGTCACAGGATTGGAACCCATGACTTACTGGACATGGGTGTAGATTCCTAACCCACTGAGTTACCTGCTGCCTGTACGGGTCCCACAGCTGTTCAATGATCAACATCATCTGAATCAATCAGCACTAAATAAACCACGGAGCACTTAGGAAAAGGAGACAATTTTGGAGACAGAGGTGAAGAACATGGATTCCCGGCAGTTCTGCCACTTAGTTTAGTACAGAGACCAATGATAAAAACAAAATTTGCTCCACATTCATTCTCTCTAATACAGAATAAGTGGTGGTGTTGTTTATGAATACATAATTTAGCACAATATACACAGTACCAGTTAAAACTTTGAACACGCCAAGCTGCCTACAAAGAAGAGTGATAGAGTGTTGCATCACCTGGCCACATCACCTAAAAACAGCAGAAATTGTTTTGGAGAAGATCAGACAGTGAAGGAAAAGCAATCAATGAGTGTTTGGCATATACACAATATTGAGTATTGGGACACTCCAACAGTTTTCAAAAACTGATATAAAAAGAAATATTCAGAGATACAATACATAAATAAAAGTGTTGGGACACCTGGCCATTGCATCTACAGAAACTTTAATGACATCCAATTGTAAATATAGTTCCCCCTTTGCAGCTATAACAGCTGCCACTCTTCTGGGAAGGCTTTCCACAAGATTGTGGAGTGTGTCTGTGGGAATTTTTGCCCATTCATCTAGAAGAGCATTTGTGAAGTCAGGCACTGATGTTGGACCTGAAGGCCTGGCTCACCATCTCTGTTCTAGGTCATCCCAAAGGTGTCTGATGAGGTTGAGGTCAGGACTCTGTGCGGTCCAGTCAAGTTCTTCCACACAAAACTCATCCAACCATGTCTTTATGGACCTTGCTTTGTACACTGGGGCTCAGTCATGCTGGAACAGAAAATGGCCTTCCCCAAATGGTTCCCACGGAGTTGGAACCATAGAATTGTCCAAAATATCTTGGTATCCTGAAGCATTAAGAGTTCCTTTCACTGGAACCAAGCGGCCTAGCCCAACCCCTGAAAAACAACCCCATACCATTATCCCTCCTCCACCAAACTTTACAGTTGGTACAATGCAGTCAGGTAGGTAACGTTCTCCTGAGATCCGCCAAACCCAGACTCATGCATCAGACTGCCAGACAGAGAAGTGTGATTTGTCACTCCACAGAACATGTTTCCACTGCTCCAGAGTCCAGTGGCGGCGTGCTTTACACCACTCCATCTGACGCTTGGCATGGCACTTGGTGATGTGAAGCTTGCATGCAGCTGCTCGGACATGGAAGCCCATTCCATGAAGCTCCCAGCGCACAGGGTTTTGTACTCTGGTTAATGCCAGAGGAAGTTTGTAACTCTGCAGTTATTGAGCCAACAGAGTATTGGCAACTTTTACACAGTACGGCCTCAGCACTCTACGATGCCGCTCTATTACTTTACATGGTCTGCCACTTAGAGGCTGAGTTTCTGTTGTTCAAAAATTCCTCCCCTTAGCAATAATACCACTTACAGTTGACCATGCAATATCTATATCAATCTATCATGAAGAAATTTCACAGACTGACTTATTGCAGAGGTAACATCCCACGACAGTATCACGCCTGAACTCACTGAGCTCTTCAGAAGGACCCATTCTTTCACAAATGTTTGTAAACCTAAATGCGTGGCTAGATGTTTAAGTAAGGCATAATTCCATAGATGTTATTTTATAGTACTGATGTCTTGTGTCCAGATTTTTGACTGGTACTGTTTGTAGTTTTAAGTCCGGTCTGCCTTGTCTTGCACTGACTGCCCTGTGTTTTGCACTACATAGAGCAAAGGACTTCTTTTTGTTACTTACTGTTGAACTGTGGTCCTGGGGGACCATTTGTGCCTGTGTGTACCTGTAGGTGGATGGCTTGACGATAAAGGCCACTTGATGATGATAATAAATAATAATAATAATAATAAAAATAATTGTTGTTGTTGTTATTATTGCTCACAGTCAAACCACTATATATGGATTGACAGTAAAGCACTTCATACATGACTTAAAGAAATTCCAACATCCCTCTAAATCCTCCTGAGATCAACAAAGCTCATCTTAGTCTTAATCTTAAAAGAGCATGCCGAGGTTTGGGAAACCACTAGCCTTCACTTAAACACCACAGCATTTCCAAGGTCCAAACAGCATAGACATATGCATGTCAGGGATACACAGAATGCATTACATATTCTCAACATGCTGAAAATGAGAACAGCACAGTGGCCTTATTCCGCTAGGCCTGGGCTCTCTATGGACGGAGTCCAGGTCCCAGCGGCAAGGTGTCTGCGTTTCTGCAGGAGATGCAGAATGATGTAAAAGACTCCCAGATGGGGTGCGTGAAGGCCGCGGGGCCCACTAGCTTCAATTAATCACAGGGTCTAAACCATACTGTTTCCAACGTTTAAAAAAAAAACAAGAGAAACAGACCAGAAACAAAAGGACAACAATTTGCTCTTTTGTCCCTTTGTTATTCAAGTGGTTTTAGTAATAAGACCCAAATAAAGGCACCTTATTTCCTGTGTTGGTGTGTATGTGTAAAACTGTCCTTCAAAGAGGAGTGGGCAGTGTACGATTAGATTCAGCTTTATTGTCATTGTCCTGAGTACAGGTACAGAGACAATGAAATGCAGTTAGCATCCAACCAGGTGCAAATAAAATGCATACAAATGCAATCAATTACAATGAAAATATAGACAGAAATATAAATTATGGTTGCATGTAAAATTATACATGAGGCAGTCTGAAATATAAGGTGCTGACAGGAAGTACAGAGGAAATGACTGAATATGATACAAGATGCAATATTAATATAACATTCAATATTGATGATTGAATATGATACAAGATACCTGTACAATACTGATACAATTGGGAACTGACATATACAAATGAGCAGACAAAATAGTGTTCAATGGC